GAGAGAGAGAGAGAGAGAGAGAGAGAGAGAGAAAGAGAGAGAGAGAGAGAGAGAAAGACAGAGACACAGAGAGAGAGAAAGACAGAGACACAGAGAGAGAGACAGAGACGCCGGGAGAAGAGAGAGAGAGAGACAGAGAGACAGTGAGACAGACAGACAGACAGAGACAGAGACAGAGACAGACAGACAGACAGACAGAGAGAGAGACAAATACAGAGACAGGGAGGGAGAGAGAGAGAGAGAGAGAGAGAGAGAGAGAGAGAGAGAGAGAGAGGGGGGGGGATAAAGAGAAGGGGACAGAATTAGCCTGGAAAGTGTAAACTACAGGGAATCTGGCATAGACAACTCTCGACAACGGCATCACAATCGACGACGACGACAACAAAAGCAACAACAACAGCAACAACAAAAACAACAACAACAGAGTGGAACCTGCCTGGAAGGTGTAGATAGACGGTCTGGCACTTGCCCTGTGGACACTTCTCGCACCACGTAGAGGAAGATCCCACGTCTTCATAGCCCGGCACTTCGGGCACGGCCTGGTGACCAACGCCACAGCCAACTATGCCACTTTCGAAATTCGGCGCCACCAGCAGCGACCCAGACGACGAGGAGGACGATGAGGACACCGCCGAAGAAGACGAGCCCACAGAACAGCAGGACGGGGACAGCGGCATCATAGGGGAGTCACGCCCCCCGCCGCCGCCACCACGCCCAGCGCCACGCCCCCCGACGCCAGCACGACAAGGGGAGACGTCCACCGAGCCCATCTGCTGTGTCTTCACGAGTAAGGGCGTGCTGGCGCTCACGGAGGAGCTGGAGGAGGCGGAGGAGGCGGAGGAGGCGTCAGAACAGGTGGACGAGCGGGCGAAAGATTTCTGGACCGGACTCGGCCTCACGAAAGGCGAGCGCTCAGAACCGATTACGGGCGCTCTGGGCCTTCCCTCACGAGTGGCCCCGGTTCGAAACGAAGTGACGCCATCCTCCGACTCATCCTGCTCTTTTTTAGGACTGTTGACCCCACCACGGGGTTTGGAGAACGCGCTTGGAGCTGGCGAGGAAGAGCGAAGAGAGGTCGGCGTACCGCCCAAACCTCCAGGAGAAGTGAGCGATCTGGGGAAAGGGCTGGCGTTTCTCTTCCTCTTGGTCGCCACGAAAGAGTTAGGGAACTTTGTCTCCACCTCCTCGGCCGTCTCCAGAGTGCACGCGTCCGCCTCGTGCGGTTTAGGAGGCTGGCAACAAGTCTCAGCTTGGACGAAAGACGTGCTCTTGAGCTCCACCTCCGGGTAAACAAAGGAGTTCTCATTTCCCTCCTTCAACTCACAGCTCAACTCCTCCAGCACTGTCTGCATGCCTAAGAAGGGCTCGGCGGGGACAATATCCACATCATCCTTAAAATTCACGGATTTCATCTTGGGCTTTTTCTTAACAGCCGGTTTCGGTTTCGGTGGAGGAACAGGCGGTTTTGGGGGAGGGACGGGCGGCTTTTTCTTGGGTTTTGGGGCAACTGGCGGTGCATTGGGAAAAGAGGGACGCTGTGGGATGTTTATATTTCCTTGTAACCCCCGCGAACCCGCGAGACAGAGACCCTCAGGTTCAACAAACCTTCTCTCCTCCACGGGAGAAGGTGGGGAACAGAAACTGGTCACATTCTCGTAGCTGGAGGAAAAGTCAGATGTGGCGGGCGGGACGGCGTCGTTCTCTGAGGAGATGGAGGCCCCGAAGCCTGAGTCGCGGGTCCGCGCCGGGAGAGAGCTGAGCCCAGGGGCCTGGACTGTGAGCGAAATGTCGCCGTCTGAGCTAGAGCTCTTCATCTCCGCGCCGTATGGCATGAACACCATGGTCGTCGGAGCTGTCGTCGTGGTCGCAGTCGTCCTGCCGGTTGGGCCACACGTCTGGGCCTCCACCACAACGCCCTGCAACTGTCTGGAGCCCGCCTCCAGGAACGCTGGCGTGGGAGACTCCCGGCGGTCAGCGCACTGCCACGACTGACGGATGTACTTCCCGCGGCCTTCCAGTGTCATGTGACTGATACTTACACGACAACCACGTGCGTGACGTATTGTTCACACAGGTACTACAGTACTCACTTTTACTGTCTGGACACCGGGGTATCCACCACACTATCTCTGTCCGTGTCAAAGTGTCTGCGATCCATCATACGGTCACAGAGTACAAATATGTCCACTAATCGATTAGCACATTGCTCACAACTAGATCAACTTTTCACTGCTTATAATACTGTAGCATAACAAAAACAATGCTATAGACCATAATCGGACACCAAAGAAAGAAACAAACACAAAAAAACCTATAAAACCGACATCACTTTAAACTCTTACTAAACACCAGCCGACGAGACACAATTTTAACACATGATCTGCATCCATACACTACCATCACCACCACCACCACCCCCTTTCCCCCAATCCCCAACTAACAATGTCAGAGGGTTCGATTACAGAAGCTGCAAAGTCACGAGCTAACCACGCGCCTTCCACAATTCCGTATTTACAAATATTACATGTAGGCCTACGTTTACTACACTACCATGAAAGAGAAGTGGTGCTGACAAATGAAACTAAAAGACGCTGTGGGGATGGGGAAAAAGCTCGTTTCACGGCACATGACTCATCATTAATTCACTACCTACATATCGGAAATACATTAATCTCAGACTATTACCGTGGACTCTTCAACACGCACACAAAACCCAACAGCTGTAAACTGAAATACATGTTCGATGTACACGTGTTCCCCGTTCAATGTGCAGTGTCCGCTAAGCACGATTATAAGAAACGTCTACAGTTCCTACTCCGTTTTTATGTCTATATAATGTATTCAGAAATAAAGGAGACAGCAATATCGATTCAGAACGCTATATATCGTTATCAAAGAGCTCGGGGGCTAAAGGAATTTGCAGAAAATTGGAAGTGCACGCAAGTCTACACCGTCTCTGTCTCTCTCTGTCTGTCTGTCTGTCTGTTTCTCTCTCTCTCTCTCTCTCTCTCTCTC